GAATTTAAAATCTGTGAGTTTTTATCCTGAGCCAAACCTAGTGCGTAAGTGCCTGCACGAGACCCATAACATCTGCCAGGCTGAATCTGAAATTTATTATGTTAGGGGGTCCAAGGATTGTTTAGTCGCGTTATTTTTAAGGCAAGCCGAGCACGTACAAACCTATTGCCAGAGAAGGGTCAAGATATGTGCTAACCCTAAGCATCTAATTACGTATATTGGTAATGGTCACTGGCTTTTGTCACCGGCGAAGCCGTTTCGGTTAACAGTGTCATGTCAGACTACCAGTGATCAGGCGCCCACGATTACGGACATTCAGATATCATCACGTCAGCTGGTATCGCTGCAATCGGGTTGTAGTGCTCATTCGGCTGATCTTACCCTACCCACATTTTATTTTCATGAGTCATCGGTGAATCTCACGAGATCGTTAGTCAATATGTTGCCCAAGTCGTTGCAGACACCTACAATATGGGCAGATTTGGCTCAACTGGCGGTGAAAAGGGGTAATGCCACCGATCTCATTCCGCAAAATATAGTACCTCCTAAGCTGTATGAATCGAAGGATTTAGACTTAGCCTATGATCACCTTAAGGATGCCATAGTTAATAGCAGACGGCTGCTAGATGCGAATGAAGCGGCTCAAAACAATTTTCAGAGCACCCACGTACAATGGCATGAAATAGTTATTTACGTGGCCATTGCTGGTATAGCAATTATCGTATTATATTGTTGCTGCGCGCCACCACATCTTCGGCCACGCCTATGTCAGTCATTCACTACACCTGGTACCACGGCTACTCATACCATTCTCCAACCCACGGTGCAACCCCTCTTGCAACCCGTCAATGCAACCGCGCCTTTCGTACCGCAGCATTTGTATCCGGCATTGCACAACGAAGAGAGGGAGACTGAGATGCTCCACAGAGTTCGAGAGCATCCGCTAGAGAGGGTGCAGGCGAAGGAGGAGGTAGAGATGAAAACACTGCCTCGGTCAAAGTATAGTACTAAGAAATATGCGGACTAGACTAAGAATGCTCCGTAGATTCTAAGGATATCGATGCACAGGCGACGTAGTGTTGTCACCATGTACCTAACAAAACATGTATGTGTATAATTAGGAGTTAACGTCACTATATGTTCAGGAGTTAAAATGCACTGTGTTGGCACGAAAGCACGTAACCGATATTACTGGTGCACAGTTACGCGGTCGACGTCACGTATGTATAGATAGCACGCACCATGTTCACCAAATGCACCGGGTTCACTATGTTCACCACTATAGTACTAGCCAAGAAGCACTAACGCACAGGTGCTAATCGTATATTACTGCGTGTTTGTGTTCTTGTATGTGTAAGCACGGTATTCGCAACGTGCCAATAACCGTTATCAAAAGTGCATAAACGTGCAAGATCGCACAGTATGACTAATCTAGTCTCTTTTGAGCACCTGCAGTAACTCCAAACACGCCAGCGAGGCGGAGATCGCAAGACAGCGATCAGGAGGAGCAGCAGAGCACCTACTACAGCGACGACGAAGAAGGCGCCGCATCGCACCAGCACCAGGAGAGGGCGACCGCGTCGGGCGGCTCGTTTGCGTGGAGGGCGCGGCGCGACCTTCCCACCCCTGAGGCACTGTACGTGCCACGGCCGCAATCGCCGGCTAGCAATCGGCCACCCATCGATTGGGAGGCCCTGCGGCCAGCCCGGAGCGACGGGGAGATCGCAACGCCCGGCGCTTCCCGCTACCCGACCGGAGGGCCCCCACCCCCAACGCCGCGCCTGATCTACCCAGGACTCGCCTCGACAGTGGGTAGGCAGACGAGCTACGACAGCTGGGCGGCGTTTCGGGCGGATGTCCGCACATACCGGATGAACAATCCGGGATGGACCGTCGTTCACCATGACGACGACGACACGGCAATCGCTGTCGTCCCCATAGAACTGGCGCCGCTGCTGGGCGTATCCATGGTGAACCAGCATCGGCCAGGGCACCCAATTGTGCCCGACGACAGCGAGGACGAGTGGGACGAGGACGAAGACGACGAGGAGATGGCGATATTCTATCGGTGGGACTAGATGAGGACGACGAGGGAGGACCAGCACGACGGAGGACGACGAGGGCGAGGGAGGACGAGGACGACAGCAGGAGCGGAGGACGACAACGGAGGACGACTAAGGCGCCAGCCGGATTTCTTTTGAATAGCTAGAATAAATAAAATAAAAAGTAAAATACTTGATATATATATGTAAACATAAACAAAAAAATCAAAAAACCAAATAAATATATCTAGAAGGTAATAGGGAATATGTAGTGTGGAAAATGTAAGGGGAGGAAGTGTAAAGGGGTAATGTGTATGTTGTTTTTGTTTTTTGTTTATATATACCTTTGATGTTTTGTGTGTACGGGGGAAGGAATGTTCAATTTTGGTAAGGGATTAAGGTGTAATGTTTTTTGTTATATATATATATACCGTTTGTGTTTTGGGTGTAAGGGGTAAGGTATACTGTTTTATATACCTTGGGTGTTTTGTGTGTATGGGGGAAAGGAATGTTCAATTTTGGTAAGGGAGGGGATAAAGGAAAAACAAAATTTAAAATAACGAAAATTAAAAACATAAAATAAAATAAAATAATAAATAAAATAAAAAACGTATTTTAGTCGACGCATCAATACAGTTACGGAAGTTGTCCACCGCGTCACCAGATACACTCGACAAGAGCGCATTTATTTCCCGCATGGCAGCAATAGCACGTAGCTATATAGCCACATAATAGCCTAACAGCACAAACGCGTTTTGTCATAATGCCTTGTATCGTTGGTGTATTTAGCGCTCGTGACTGGCTCTATATGCAGACGTCAAGAAATTACTGGATCCTTCGTTTACCGATAGCAGATCATTGGAGTTAGTCGTTTTTGCGGGGAGGGAGTGAACGAAACAATGCCTCTTTATTCACGCCAGTTTTGCTGTAAACATGACAGATTTTATTCGACAATTTCGAAGCGCTGCAAAAGCTATTGCTGTTACAAGAGTTAAAAGGATGGAATTGAACATAAAGACCTCATGCTTATACGAACATGTCGATTATGCGCATTAGCCCGCTGCAAGCATCTACACATTTCGAAATGCGACTGTGTAAATTATACCGAGCTGGCGAATTGAAAGAGCTCGCGTATTCAAAGTAATAGTCGTGCGGGGGTTTACCGGATGCTGGAACGCACGCTTAATGGCATGCCATTGAAAGCACGGGAGAGCAAGAGCCGTTGCTAGGCATGCGGTCTGAGCACCTCCGCCCGGTATCGCCCGGCAGCTACTCGTCACCTGAGACAATATATACAGCGAAGTGAAACGTGACCGTGTTTTCTACGCATGAACATGGCGCCATGGCACGTTATCACGTATAACCAATCCGTTTCACTTCTCTGTATATATTGTTCTCAGCCGCTCGTACCGGTGCATTCAGCAAATAATGTACCTACACTGTTAACCACCTTACACTGTTATAGATGTCATCCTAATGCTATTACTATTAGCCGGCTTTATGAGCACAACCAGATACAAACTTCTACTTCTTTCTTCTTCTACTTCTACTTCTACTTCTACTTCTACTTCTATACTGGACAGTCCGTAAGGAATAAACGTCCAGGGAGTGCGCGAAAACTCCAGGTGCACGTGAGAGATTTGCATGGAATATTTTTAAATGTAGACAGTAATGTGTTCCAGAGATCGAGGCTTCTCTTGGCCAGGCACTCAGTACGATGCGACTAGTATACGGCAATAAAACCTTGCGTAACTATCACCGTAATTGCCTATAAACGACGATGTAATTGCCAATTCGGTTGGCGCATAGACGCCCAAGTGGGAACGTCGGATCGGCATCTCGCACCCGCCTCACGTTCGTGGGTGTCATTGCACACAAAACAACGCCAACCGACTATATGCACGCCGGGTGCGTGATTAGGGTTAGGGTTAGTGTCGCAATGCACCATAAAACAGAAGTTTGAGGCACGTGATTTGTATCAACTAATGGCAGCGCTCACTAGAGCCCTATGTTCTTGATTATCCTAGGAAAAAAAATCACGCCCCCCGCGTGGCCCCCGCCGGAATCGGAGCCGCTCGCGTATTGATCACGTGTCGCCCCACGCGAGATTCGGCGAGAGAAGGCGCTGAGTTGAAATTAATCAAGGCGCTATCGCTGTTGATGTCGCTGCTTGCTTATAGCCTGGTCGCATCGCACTGCTGCCGCGAACCATAATTACATGAGACCGCATCCGTAAAATGTATTACATGCGGTGAAAAAAATGCTAGCGCGCGCATTATGCGATGCGCGTCTGCCACGAATGCAATCGGCCAAATTCGCCATTAATGCAAACTCTGCCACGACTACACTCCGCATAGCTGGGTCTAGCGTCCATACTGGAATCACTAGGCTATATTTAATGGTAGGTTCGTGGTTCTAGCTAGGTACTTGAACTAGCGTTGACGTTCTAGAACTGAAATTTCGCAGTAAATTGACCTAGCTGTTCTGTAACCGTCTACACCATAGAACATCACACCGCATTTCATAAGATGAATCAAAATTCGAATCAAGCGAGGCCCCTGCTACAGGGGGAATCGTGGGCACCTGCTAACAGGGGGAATCGTGGGCACCTGCTACAAGGGGAATCGTGGGCCTGCTACAGGGAAATCGCAGGGTCCCTGCTACAGGAGAAGTGAGGCCCCTGCCTACAGGGGAATCGTGGGCACCTGCTACAGGGGAATCGTGGGCACCTGCTACAAGGAGAATCGTGGGCCCCTGCTACAGGGAGAATCGAGAGGTCCCTGCTACAGGAGAAGTGAGGCCCCTGCTACAGGGGGAATCGTGGGCACCTGCTACAAGGGGAATCGTGGGCCCCTGCTACAGGGGGAAGCGGGCCCCTGCTACAGGGGGAAGCGAGGCCCCTGCTACAGGGGGAATCGTGGGCCCCTGCTACAGGGGAAATCGTGGGTCCCTGCTACAGGGGGAATCGTGGGTCCTGCTACAGGGGGAAGTGAGGCCCCCTGCTATAGGGGAATCGTAGACCACATGCTACAGGGGGAATCGTGGGCCCCCTGCTACAGGAGGAATCGTAGGCCCTCTGCTACAGGAGGAATCGTAGGCCCCCTGCTACAGGGGGAATCGTGGGTCCCTGCTACAGGGGTAATCGTGGGTCCCTGCTACAGGGGGAATCGTGGGTCCCTGCTACAGGGGGAATCGTGGGTCCCTGCTACAGCGAGAATCGTGGGCCACCTGCTACAGGGAGAGGCGCCGGTAGAGCTATCACCAGTGTAAACGAGCTTTGATAGACCGGCGAAGAGAGATTGGGTCGGCAACGTCGGAAGCAGCCACGCGCGTGTGTGGCCACGAGTCACACGAACGCAACGGAATGTCATTACACGCGCGCGAATTTGTAGTGACCATACATTCTACAAGAAATTATTCTATAATAGAAGTATAGAGGTGCTCGTGTTACTACAATACGACATTGTACAATATTCCTATCGGAAGTATTATGTATTTATTATAAATATATAATGCATAAGTTTTTAATTAGGGTTTATTACTTTTGATTATGTAATTACGTTACTTATACTTAATACATTAATCGTATTTGTTACGTGTGATTAGCTGAACTAATTCTAACCATGATGTGAGAATACCGCAATCCGTTGTCTAACAACATTCACAAGTTGGGTAGTAGTCTAAATGGTCAACTTACGTAGAACGTGCAGCCAATGTTCATGAACCTGCAGGGTACAAATGTCTCTGGGCAATCTCCGGATATCTTGTCCTGGTGCGAACTTAGGTTCAGACGACGTATCTTCTGCTGACCGCACGCTGTGCAGGTGATCGGAAAGTAGGGACATTCTACCAAATGGTGCTTCTGCGGGGGAAAATAATGGGGGATAACGTGAGAGTGAGCTACAGGATTAGACGGCCTGCGTGTGATTTGTATACATGTTATGCCGCGTCTGAGGTAGTTTACACTTTTACAGACTAACCGGCAAACATTTATGCAGCTCCAAAACAGAATACGCTACATAAAATACATAACGTGCATCACATTATAGGTATATAAATCTGCATCACATTATAGGTATATAAATCTGCATCACATTAGGTATATAAATCTGCATCACATTAGGTATATAAATCTGCATCACATTAGTATATAAATTGGCATCACATTAGGTATAATGTTCATCATATTAGTATAAAAATCAGAAGATGGCAGAAGGACAAAACAAGGGAATATACCGCATACGTCCACACTAGAATGAAATATCCCAAGCTTCCCCTTTTCCTATAAGTAAATTAAGCTCATCAATATAAATTGATTAAGTCAGTCTGCATATATCGATAAGTTAGGTACAATCTTTGCCAAAGAATTCACGATTCTTCGGATAAACTTCGAGTGTAAAAGTGTGTCTACCAAAATCCTATTGGTGTATATAATCCGGCGATATTTACCACCAGAGATGTAAACCGCGTACCGTGTCATTAATTTATGCCCCACTACCAAAGGCGCGGTTGATTCACCCTCGCCATGCTCTACCTCGTGAATCAGCCACCACGCGGCAGCACCGTCGGCGAACTCACCGGCTCGTCGAGGAAGATGATGATGCGTGCGCAGAACTTGCCCACGTGATCGACGACGCCGAGCAGGGGAGTTTCACGATGGATCCGTCAGCCATCTCAGACGCGACAATCGTCTCGCCGCACTCGCTTCGGGCAACAAACCTTTGCAAATTCTGCCAGTCTTTCAATGCTCCTGCACACCAAGAAAATTTACGAACATTTTATATGCGGCTAATAGCTTTTGCATCGAGTAATGTAAACTTATTACCTCCGCCAAAGGTTGGCAGGAGGTTATGTTTTCACCGGCGTGTGTTTGTTTGGTTGTGGCGGTTTGTGCGTTTTGTTTGTTGTGTACAGCCTAACTAAAAAAGTTAGGACGCGATTGTCTTGAAATTTTCAGCGATTAGGTCAAAAATGCGGGTAACTTAGAATTGATTACATTTTGGTGGTGATCGAATCCAATTAATATTAATTAATTAATTTAAATTTCAGGATAGGTCAGAAATGGGGTAACTAGAATTAATTCTATTTTGGTGGTGATCCAAATCCAATTAATTATTTGTAATTAAATAATTAAATTTTCACAGGTGAGAGAATTCAGCTGCCTTGGCGGAGGTCTGCGCTCTCCGAGTGCTCTAGTTATTATTATTATTATTATTATTTTATTTATTTATGTTGCGCCTTTTTACATAAAATGATCAAAAGCGCAGCGCATCAATATCGCAACGACTAAACAATAATGAAAGGATAATACTGAGTAATTACATGTGTAAAATTGGAGATATATCGCTACAACTGCGAGATAAAATTATATTAAAACCAAGTTAACTTTACGATAAGTTCGGATAACAGCAATGTCGTTTCACTATATTATACTATACACGACACAGCGTATTTTGTCTGGTTTTTTTTTTCATAATCAAAACGCACACGTTGGATAATTTACGTAGTTGGATGGATGATTTAAAATTGCCTCTATACTCTAGTTGTCTCAGTGGTGTTTCCACTCACAGCCATTTCCTTGTTGATGCAGTGCACAGTTAGGGACAACAGTTCTCGTTTAAATGCAATGTCTTCGAAGAGCTACAAAGAAGAATTAAGGTGACTTTAACGATCTGTTGCTACAATTTAGAAAACGTACAATGGGAAAACGTGTATATATATATATATATATAGGCAAGCCTAAGCGCAATGCACTATGGGATGGGGGGGGGGTACCGGACCACGAAGTCCAGCAAAAAAATTCCCTCATCCTATATGTATGGTGCTCCGCTCTCGGCGGCCTTCGCCCGCTTGAGCTCCGTGATTTAATATTTTGCAAAATATTTCTTCTTCTCGGAAGATATTGCGCATGCCCGCGAACACCGTGTCAAGGCGTGCAGTAGGGACTGCAAAAAAAACTGCATAATATAGGTTGCTGAGAGAGAGAGTGTGGGGGACTGAGGAAAGACGTTCAGCGGAAGATAACTGGGGGGGGGGTAGAAGAAGGCAACTGAGCGAGAAACAAGAAAGGCAAGGGAGGACGGATGAATGAAGTAGGAGTTTTGCAACCTACATGAGGTGCTCTCCTAATTATAAACACACGTCTAACGATAAAAATGTATTATATAAAATCTATGCTGAAATACCACATAGCCTATTTAAATTCAGTATAAATCACAAAATATAACTCTCTGGTGAGATATGCCCATGCGCTAACATCACTAACGTAGCAGATCGTGTACTGACTCTACATGCAGCGGGTACCCACATGCAAAGGTATTCCTCCTATTTCCTAACTGAGTTCTACTTGATGGAATCTTATCATATAAATCATATGCTAGAATACCTCCCTTCAAAATTAAATGCAATTTTCGCAAAATATTACTTTCTCGGAGATATGCGCATGTGTTGAGCACCGTATCAGGCGTGCAGTACGGACTGAAGAAAACTGCGTAATATGATTTGCTGAGAGAGCGAGAGTGAGAGACTGAGGAAAGGCGGCAGGAAGATAGCTGACGGGCGGTATAAAAGGAAGGAGGCTGAGCGATGAACAACGGTAGCAAGGGGAAGAGCAGGAGGGGCCACGAAACGGCGTGTCACACAAAAAATAACGAATACGAAAATGTCATATAAATTAAACATGAAGTCAAAACAATCCAATTATAGCTCGTCATGTCAACATTACTTGTTGGTTTA